GTACGTACACTTCAGCTAGACTTCAAGGTGTGTGACGTCAATTGATGGTAAGAATACTCAATCACCGTCAGCAAATGATCAGAAGGTTGTATTCCCAAATGTGTGCATTATAAATTACGAGCCGGCCCGCGGCATAACATACGCCGCTATTTAGTTGTTTCTAATTTTCAATAATTCATAATTTGTGAATTCGACAGTACCAACGCTGACACTGAAAATATTTCTTTAAAACACTATAAGTAGCTTGTTAAGGACCATAACCCCCCCCCCCCCCTTCCTCCCCCCCCCTTCCTCCCCCCCCCCCTCCCCCCCCCCCCCCCCCTACGTTTAAAATCGTTGGCTCTGCTTGTAAACATTTAGAGTGAACACAGCTCACTAAAACCATGTAGGGGTGGGGAGGTAGGGAGAGCGTTTGCAGCTTGTTTTCTAACGGCTCGAAGAGGAGAATTATATATATAGATAGTTTGTCATATTGAGTGTCGTGGTGTAAAGGTCAGCATGTGGTCTTCCAAGCAGTCGACCCGGGTTCGATTCACGGCTGACAAACTCTTTTTTAATAAAAATATTTGATTACCAAAATAAATGCTATAATGGGAAATGGGAAATTACATATTTTAGCGTCAAAAGCTTTTAGTAAAAGGAGAACGTTTGTTTTAATATTTCTTACTCTCATTGCATGCACAAAGTTTGTTATAACAAAGGAGTTTATATTTGTTATTTTACTAGTTAAAGAAACAAAATAAAACCCGATTGTTTTGTTGTGGCTGTTGACTAGTATTTAAATTTTTTTTTTTTTTTTTTTGAGACAAGAAAATATTTATTACAAGTATTATTTTCTACCCTGAAACAATCTATTTGTTAGTGCAGAAGATTGAGCATTCTTATATTAAAAACAATAACAGGAATTAGTTCTTGTTCTTTAGTCTTAACTTAAAGCAACATCAACAGACAAATAATCATTACCCGATTACAAATAAATCTTAAAACAAACTGTTACAAGTATTAAAAAAAATGTGTTAAGTGTCTGCTTGGAGTATATTTAGAAACACCTACAAAGGCGTATCGTATTTATTTATAAGGATAAAATGCAATAAAACAACGACTTTTTGTTTTCGTATTTAGTCACCTTGTTTATTGATTAAAAAACTAAAATACTCCAAATGCTAAATTAAACAACAAAAATGCTTTTGTTAACAAAAAATAAACTCATAAACATGATAAAATTATTGCACTTCCCGAAGTATTAATTAATATATTAACAAGAATATATTTCTAGTTTCCCTTTAACCGATTTTTATTTAAATATGGGAGATAATTGACTGCACTTAGGCAATCATTGAAATTATTCGTTGTGTTGTCAGAAAAATATCCCCTATACCAGGGGTCGGCAACCTGCGGCTCGCGAGCCGCATGCGGCTCTTTTGATCTCAAGATGCGGCTCTCCAGCTCCTTGAACAAATACTAATAATCTTAATAAAAAAATAAAATATTTGAAATAAAAAAATGTTAATGGCTCTTTAAAACCAAGGACATTTTGAAAATTGTAACTTTTGGCTCTTCCGCTTCAAAAGGTTGCCGACCCCTGCCCTATACTAAGGACAATTTACCTAGCTCAGATTGTTACATTATAAGGGTAAGATGGGTGAGAAATCATTTACGTCCCTATCAGAAATTATTATAATTTTATTGTCTTTTTGTTTATATTCATTTTGTAACAAAGACGGCTTATTTACGATTATATGTTTGTCAAATTATTCACTATCCGATTTGAATTTCAACGTAATTGAGCGTAGGTATTTACCGGCAGCGGTTGTGTAAAGGTCAGCATGGTTGCCTTTCAAGCAGTCGATCCTGCTTTGATTCCCGGCTGACGCAAGGATTATTTTTACTTTTTTTTTCCTTTTTACAAAAATTGTTAATAGTTAATTTTTATTTTAAATTTTACTGATTCTAGGAAATATAATAACATCAACATGCCAGTTATCATAAAGACTGAAAGTCCCAAAGTTACCCCCCCCCCCCCACAAACTCAAAACTTTCATAAAATGACGTCATAACTATGCTAACCACGCCTTGCTCAGCCCCCTCCCCCCCCCCCCCCCCCTTACCATATTTACAAAATCGCAGCATTTCTTCTCGTAATATATCGATTTCTTTCTGAAATATTTGCTGAGCTGTTTCAACACTAAGCATATCAATAGCTTACACAATTCTATTACAGTTTACAAAAATAGTCTTTTAAAACCTGAAATAAATGCTGAGATTCAGTTTCAAACATTACTTTCTACAACGCAAAAGTGGTCCTGACTCCCTTAACCCCGTCCCACCTCTACCCCTGAACAGCTATTCACCCCACCCCATCCCTCATTATTATTGTTTTTACGTCTGGTAGTGTCAATGTTTTTTTTTTTATAGAACTTGAAATTTTCAATGAACGTTTGTTTTACGAGATTCTATTCTATTATAAAAAGTTTAAGTAATTAAAAATGGCTTTAAAAATATTGTCCCTAGTTGCCATACCCCGTAGTGTTATATTAGAATATTCGAGAAAGTTTAGGGGAGATCACTCCCGATTTATTTAAATACAATTTCAAATACATGATCATAAATTAAATGCGTAGTGATTCTAATTAATAGAATTACTAGACGAGGAATATTTTAAAATTGTTTTTTACCAGATAAAAAGCTTGGATTTAATACACAAAATTTACGATTGTTTAAGCTCTTATGGTGTTGGTTGGTTGTCATTTGAAACATTGTTGTTATTTTTCATTGTTGGTTGAATCAGAGGTAGCAACCCCTCCCGGAGACAAACTTTCAATTTGGCGTCTTCCCCCCCTCCCCGCCATATATATATTTTATATTTGTAATTCAAAATAGCAGCTACAATGAGCTTATTTTGGCGCCCCTAGGGTCTGCGCTCGGGGATATATGTACTTACCTCCTCCCACGTCGTTACGCCTCTGGCTTGGACTAGTGCTCTTCATCTCTGTAGACATATGTTCCTTCGTTGTTTGATTCTTGTCTTCAATAAACTTTGGTGTGTGCTTGGTCGTTGTCTGAGTGCCAGCTTTTGAGGTGCGCTTTTAGCTGTTTCTTTGTGGTAAAGTGGGTGTCTGTAGCCTCACAATACGAGCACTTGAATCTAAATGTCCTGTGGGTGTTTCGTTGCAAAATGTTTGAGCATGTTTGTATCTATTGTAAGTTTGCATATGCGACAGTTTAAAGCGTCGAAGTGTTCCTTAACCATAAGGTTTGCCTGTGGTCCGAGGAACAAACAAAAGTAGAGTAGACAATTGTTGAGTCGATCTTCAATCGGTGTTTTGGACGGGGTGGCGGCTGCTGACTCGCTGTCTCCTACATTAACTTAAGCTGCTTTTGATATTTGCTCCGGTTCTTTCTTCCTTTTGGTTGTTGATGTCAGCAAGATTGTTTGTTGTTGTGAGATTTGAGGGACGGATGTTTCTTTCTATGGTGTCGATATCTGTGTGAAGACTGCATACATGCTTGTTACTGGCTGTTGTGCTGCGTAGCCATGTTGTGGCTGATTAATTTTTTTTGTTTTGTTTTGTTAGGTGAGAGTTCCCAGTCTATGTCTTAGCTTTGCTTGAAATATTCATTTTACCTCGGTGTTAGTGCATTTTTTAAAATAAAATCTGAATTTATTCATATTTCCCCACATAGTCGATCTATAAATAGCCGTTTGCAACTAGTCTGTTTTCGTCTTCTGTTCTTTGTCTAGTCGTGTTAATTAGAAAAATTAAGTTAAGTGTGATTACTTTATTTCTTGTGGCTGTTTGATTGGTAGTTTTTAATATTTTCTCAAGTGTTTGCTTTGCTTTCTGTACTAATGTACAAGCAAATGAATGTGTTTCTCGGTTTCTTGTATATTTTGTTTGACGTTTGACAAGTTATTTTAACATTTTGATTTGACTTTGTATTTCGTAACACTGGTGTTGTATTAAAAATCAGTCTGTACGCTAATTCCCTTTCTTTTGGTGTAAAGATTTTATTATGTAGGTTTCTAATATATATATATATATATATATATATATATATATATATATATATATATATATATATATATATATATATATATATTATATTGTGTTCCCTGGGCCAACTAATCCTGGTGTATAAGGTTGTCGCTTGTTGTTTGATTAGGATGTCGTATATTTTGTGTGTGTCTTCCCCAATAATGCTTTTGTTTCCTCGGAATGTTGCTAGCGTTTCTTTATAAAATGTCATGTAGCCCTATACCTCCATTTAATTTGTTTTGTATTCATGTTTTGTGGCTAATGTTTATAATAGTGTTTTTGAAAATGAATGATCTAATTTGCTTGTTTGTTTGTTTATTAAACGAGTTGGGAATTGTAGAGTATGTCGCTGCGAAAATTATTTTTGGAATGATGTGTCTGTTTACTAATGCAGTTGTGGCAAAGATAGTTGTTTTGCAGTATTGGTATTTTTCCAGATTGAGAATTATTTTATTGTTAAGTACGGCCCAAGTTTCTTGGTCGTCTTTTGTGGGATCGCTGTTATAAGTTATTCCATGAGTTTGTCTGTTATTGTGTTGTAATTATCTTTAACTTTCCATATTTTTCCTTTCCGTTTAATTGAGGATTTTATTTTATTTTTTTTTTTTTTTTAAGACAAGTTACACATTTTTATTCAACTGAAAATCAGCAAGTTAAAAAAGTTTCAAAACATGGCTATTTTGAAAACTAAAGCACTGAAAACAAGATGAATTAAGTTTTTATAACAGGAAAATTGTTTAAATTGTCCTTATTTTTAGGTCAGTTGAATCAATAATGAAAATAAAAATATTGGCAAATCAGATTGAACTGTTAACACAATTTTTTCTTTTAATCAACTACGTTTTCATAGACTTGACATCAACAGCGAGTATACACATTCTAATTAGTTCATTTATTTAAAACCTAATATCTTGAATAGAACTATTTATTCAGTGTAATTTTTTTTACCTGGATTCCTTCTCTCCCAAATAAGTCTATGTTTCTGTTTCATGTAGGCCTATAAAGCACCTTTCCCGCTTCTCATATCACTATATTTGATGAACCAGTTAACAGGCGCCTGGTTATAATCTTCATCAATCTGTTGACATTTGTATTTTTTATCAGGACCTTCCCACGCATAGCATTCAATCTTTCTTTGCCTCAGAATCCTGACAATATCGCTGTCAACCATCCTGTCTCTGTGGAACTGCTGGTCAGCTTCATAGATGCAAACTGGATCTTCTTCATCACACTGGTCCACTGTTGGGACCCTATTGAAATGCCTTTGATAATACTTGGTTTGGTTCCTGCTCTGAATAGGTAACACCACCTTCTCTCGTACATAAGTCACTGGCCCGTCGAAAACTTTAAATAAAGCCATTGCAACATTCTGAAACTTGAAATTTCCACTATTTTGGGGTGATGCTGAATGATGCTCTTCTTCTTCGTGCCCCATTTCTTGTTTATGTCCTTAATTGAGGATTTTAAAATAATCAGCAGAACAATCGAAGAAGATCCAGCAATACAATTAAAGGCGTATCGTTTTTTTAAAGGATAATAATGTAATAAAACAACAGCTGTTTCGTTTTCGTATATAGTCACATTTTTTATTAATGTTAAAAATAAAATACTCTATTTACTGAATTAAACAACCATCAATGTGTTTTGCTAATAAAAAAAACATTAATAAACTTTGTATAAGCATTGTACTTCCCGAAGTATTAATTAATAAATTAATGAGAATACATTTCTATTTTTCCTTTAACAAAGTTGTCGTTTAATATGGGAGGTAATTAATTGCTCTTAGTAAGAAAATCATTGAAATAATTCGTTGTGTTGTCAGGAAAATATCGACACACTCAAGACAATTTACCCATCTTTGATTGTTACATCATAAGGGATAGATAGGGAGATATCTTATGGTCTCGTTCGCAGATATTTTGAGAAATCATTGACGTCCCTATCAGAAATTATTATAATTTAATTGCCTATATTTTTCTTTCATTTTGTAACAAAGACGGCTTATATACGAGTATATGTTACGAATGGTTTTTTAATAGACTTTTATGGTTTACCTATCAAAATATTGTTGATTTAAATTTTAATACCACAGAAATATAATCTACATTTGTTTTTAACTTTACTGCCTTATTTTTTAATTTTTAAAATTATTGTTATGATAGGCCTGCTACATTTTTTATAGATTTTTGGCAGATGAAGTAGAGTTTCTTGACCTCAATATATGAAGGGATAGTGTGGTCAAAACTATGCCCAGCCGCCTTTAGTTTCTTATCGTGAGTCAGGAACCCATCAGAGTTGGGTGTACTCAGGGGCTTTCCACTGACTTGTGACACAAAACATGTCAATCTTCAAATGAATCACCGTCGATTCAACCACTGCCCGATTGGAATTTTAAATAAATCTAAGTTGGTACGTGCATTGGCGTCGGTGGAGTAAAGGTCAGCATGGTTGCCTTCCAAGCAGTCGATACGAGTTCTATACTTGAAACTGCGTATATGACAGGGTTAAGAATGTTGAATCTATTTGGAGATACAACTTTGATCTAGGCAAATAAAAAATGTGCGTCAGCCGGGAATCGAACCCGTATCGACTACTTGAGAGACAACCATGCTGACCTTTACACCACCGACGTCGATGAACATACCAAAATGGAAAACAAATGTGTAACTATGATGTATGACTACACCGCCTACCAATCACACGTTAACAATGATTGAGTAATTAATTAATGTATTTATCCTGTGTATTATGAATTAATTAAGCCAGCTTTTATCCAAAGTTAAAAACTGTAAAACTTAAATATTGTCTGCTATGTACAACCTAATATATTGACATCATTTGAAAAACAAAACAAAAACATCATACAGAAACACCTGTTGATCAATATTTGCACTTACATCCTGTATTTCTGTGAAGAAACTTTAACTGGAAATTTCAATTTTGTATAAGTCAACTATTGACACTATCAGATGTCAAACGAGGAATTTGACTTGTGTAGGGTCATCAATAAACCACATAACAACGGGGGAGGGGGTTGGTGGTAAGGTGGGGTGGAATATGGTGTCGAAGTGTTGCCATTGATTAAGGTTAAAGGGTGGAGTAGGGTTTTTATTTTAAAAAGTAAATTTTTAAACTTGATACTGAGCTGGTAACTCGCTTTTAAAAGGAAGTTTTTTCTAAAATTTCAAAGTTATAGTTGATTAAGCTCATAATACATTTAAGAAAGGACTTTTTTTTTTTTTAAATGCAATTCGCAGGCATAGTGGGGGTATAGGCTGAGGTGTGACTGCATTATCTGGGATGGAGGACTGACTTTTTGGGACTATATGTGACAATGGGGGATGGAGGAAAAACTATTTGGGACTATATGTGACAATGGGGGATGGAGGAAAAACTATTTGGGACTAAATGTGACAATGGGGGATGGAGGACTAACTTTTTGGGACTATATGTGACAATGGGGGATGGAGGACTAACTTTTTGGGACTATATGTGACAATGGGGGATGGAGGACTGACTTTTTGGGACTATATGTGACAATGGGGGATGGAGGACTGACTTTTTGGGACTATATGTGACAATGGGGGATGGAGGACTGACTTTTTGGGACTATATGTGACAATGGGGGATGGAGGACTGACTTTTTGGGACTATATGTGACAATGGGGGATGGAGGACTGACTTTTTGGTACTGTATGTGACAATGGGGGATGGAGGACTGACTTTTTGGGACTATATGTGACAATGGGGGATGGAGGAAAAACTATTTGGGACTAAATGTGACAATGGGGGATGGAGGACTAACTTTTTGGGACTATATGTGACAATGGGGGATGGAGGACTAACTTTTTGGTACTATATGTGACAATGGGTAGTGGGGGCTGACTTTTTGGGACTATGTGTGGCAGTGGGGGATGGAGGACTGACTTTTTGGGACCATATTCCATAATGGAGAGGTGGTTGTAAAATCGTTTTTTAAAAAATGTATTTTTTATGACCTTCTTGACGTACGGAAACTTATTTTCGGTTGAAGGAGATCTAATAAAGAAGGTTACTGGTGAAAACAGACACTAGAACTAGACTACGCTGGGCTAAGACTGTTTAACATTAGTACGGAGAAAGGAGGAATTTGACATGGTCTAAGACAAAAAAAAATGGCAGGGTTTCTTGTTTTTCCCCACAAATCTCTCAGGAAGGGAAGTGGGGGTGAATGGGGGTAGGGGGGGGGGGGGCAGTGTTTCCAGTGGCACGCTGGAAGACAACTATTGTCTTTGGCGGACGAAAAAAAAAACCGATGATTTTGACAGACAAGTGGTAAAAAGCTAAATAAAAACAGTCAGATATTTAAATAAATGATGCAACATTAAAATTATCTGTAGGTTCAACAAAACATTATTGTTTTCTTGTAGGTTAACGCACATTTTAAAATTCCCTTTATAGCATTTGGGAATCAACATCTATATATATATGATTCTCTTCATGTGGACCATGCGAGACACCAAGTAGACGCACGCCGTTACTTCCCCGTTCTCTCGGCATATAGCCACCCCCCCCCCGACCCCCACCAGCCTGGTGAGCTCTAGTAAACACTAAATGTTTACAATCGTAGAGCCGGGTCGAATTCGTGACTGTTATTAGGGGCAGATAATTTAGTTTTTAAAAGATTTGAAACTAAGGGGAGGTAATAACAAGTTCTGCTTGATCTTTTTATTGTCGTCATGTACGGCTGCTTTAACGGGGGGGGGGGGGGGGTTGCGGTAGGGAGGAGTAGAAAGTGTGGGTGAGGATTATCATCCGTCACGAGCTAGTGATAGAGTTTTGAAAGCAAAATATTTTCAGTCACAACATTGATAGTGTCGAATTCACATATTATGAACTACTGAAAAAGAGAAAGTAAAACAACTAAATAGTGGGTCAGCTCGTTTTATTTGATAACCGCTGCATATGTTAGCAACATAAGCTTTTATTAAAATGAGAAAGTTTGTTTAATTTTTTTATTTTCGTTGCATGCTAAAAATGATTTAAATTTTTGTAAAGGTTTTTATATTGGTTATTTAACTAAGAATGTTATTAAAATTAATTGAGATATGCTTTGTTTGTTGTGGCTGTTTACTTGAAGATTTAAAAGAAATTCGAATATGCGTTGGAACAAATGCCATTGAAAGCGTATCGTAATATTTAAAACAATAAAAATGTAATTAAAGAACAGCATTTTTGTTTTCTTATTTGATCAAATTATTGATTAATATTAGAAAAAGTTCTCATTGCTAAATTAGGCAACAAAACGTTATTTTTTGTTAATAAAAAAACTCTTAGACTTATAAAATTTATATAAATATTATACTGTCCAAAGTATTAATTAAAATATTATGGAGAATACCCTTTCGCTTCCCTTTGGCAATGTTATATACATCATGGGAGATAACAAAATGTAGTCGAAGTTAGGCAATCATTGAAATTATTCGTTAGGTTGTCAGGAAAATATCCCTTATACTCAAGACAATTTACCTTGCTCAGATTGTTATTTTATAAAAGTTAGACGGAGGTGATGTTTTATGTTCTCATTCGGAGATATTTTGAGAAATGGTTTATGTCCCTATTAGAAATTATTACAATTTTATTGTATTTTTTATTTTCATTTTGTTACAAAGACGGCTTATTAACGAGTATATGTTACGGTTACGTATGATATTTTATTGGAATTTTTGGTTTACCTATCAAAATATTGTTGATTTATATTTTAATACTAAGGAAATATAAACTGCATTAGTTTTTTTTTTTAAAATTCAGTTCGTTAATTTAATCAAGTCGCATGTTTTAATTTTTTTTTATTTTTTTTATTATAGGCCTATTTCATTTTAATATATTTACTTTTGGTTAGTATTCCTCTTTAGATCAAACGATCTTTTGGGCAGATGAGGTAGAGTTCATATTTCTTGACCTCGGTATATGAAGGGATAATGTGATCAGCACTATGGCCAGCCGCCTTTAGTTTCCATATGGCGTGTTAGGTATCCACCAGAGCTGGTTCTACTGGCTTGGACCCGGATTCGAACACGAGACTTTCGGGTTAGCAGTCTAGTGCTCTACCTCTAGGCAGATGTATAAAAGAAATTATTGCTTTTTTAGCTTTAATCGAAACAATTTTAAGATCCCAATTGAATAATGCCTTTTAATTCCGTTACATTTTAAATATTTGTCAAAAGACTACGTTTTTTAAAATTCCTGAATCATTAATTTAAATAAAAACAATAACAAATTTTGTCCTGTGCCTATTAAAGACAATCAAGTTTAGGATATCTCTTTCTCATTTTTCACATATTTTATCCTCTTATTCTCTTTTCGCCTGATTTTTAAATTCTTTTTTTAATTACCTTTTTAGTTTAAACATCCTCACTGATGCACGGACGTATGTTAAGACGCTTAAGATGTTTAACTAAGCT